TATTATCTTGGATCATGAATTGTGTTTCGAAAGAGTTACTTGGAGGCATTGTTTACTCTACAAATGCTGCATCTGTATGGAAAGATCTGGCTGAGAGATATGATAAAGTTGATGGATCTCGTATCTTCCAACTACACAAAGAAATTGCCACTGTGAGTCAAGGTACTAGTTCAATTTCAACATATTTCTCTAGATATGGGTAGAATATGATAGTCTAACTCCTGTTCCAAGTTGTGAGTGTGTAAATTCAAGAGAATTTGTGAAATTTGTACACAATCAGAAGTTACTTCAGTTTCTTATGGGGTTGAATGACTCATATGAACAAGCTAGAGGACATATATTGATGATGACACCTCTACCTTCATTGAACAAAACATATTCAATCTTAATTGAAAGAGAAAGCCAAAGAACCATGTCACAAGTCTCTAGTAGTGCTAATTGTTCTGAACTAAATGCCATGTTCACTTCTGGAAACAATACTAATGCTATGGTGCCTAGATCAAGACCCTACAACAGTTCTAGCTATGATCCAAATGCTTTTTGTGATTACTGTAAAAGAACAGGTTATACACAAGCTGTGTGCTATCAGCTTCATGGTTTTCCCCCAGGATTTGAAAGAAAGAGGAAAAATCCCAACAATACATATCAGGGGAGAGGAAGATCAAGTAATGAGTATCATGGAAGAGGAAGGTTTAACAATGACAGGAGGCAAAATATTACTGCTAACAATGCAGTAAGTGATGGTGATATAGGTGTTAATAGAGGTGAAAATTCAAGAAGTCAGGGTTATGGAAGAGGAGCAATAAACACTGAACATATTGAATATCAAAAAGGCATGACTATGTTACAGGAACAATATAATCAGATTCTACACATGCTTGGACAAACTAATATGCAACAAGAAAATTCAGAAAGAGCATCTACATCACACTACAATGCTAATGTAGTCCAAGCTAAGTGCTCCTCAGCAGGTAATGAAGCTGCTCTTATTGTAACATCAGTCAAGAATGGCTGGATAATAGATTCTGGTGCAACAAATCATATGACTCATAATTCAGATATCCTTACTCATATGCATCCACTTCCTAGTAACAAACCTAGAAATGTTCAATTACCTAATGGTGAAACAAACCAAATTACTCATATAGGATCCTGCAATATAACTTCTCAAAACACTCTAAAGAATGTTCTTCTTATTCCTGAATTTAAATTCAATTTACTATCAGTTTCACAAATTACTAAAGATCTTAAATGTGCTGTGTGCTTCTTTCCTAATTTTGTTACTCTCCAGGACCTCTCCAATGGGCAGGTGAAGGTGATTGGTAGAGAACATGATGGTCTTTACATACTGCCTAACTACTCCATATCTCCTCTCAACACAAATGAAAAATGTTCATCATATTTAGCTCATGAAGAAAGTCACTTCACAGATACACAAGCTTTATTGTGGCATCAAAGGCTAGGACATACTTCTTCCAATGTTCTGGCTCATCTATTAGATATTTCACCCAGTAAATGTTCTAAAGATCTACATAATTGTATCATTTGCCCTTTGGCAAAACAACATAGATTACCATTTCCAAAAAGTACTACTGTTTCTACTACTTCCTTTCAGCTATTGCATATTGATGTCTGGGGTCCTTTTAACACTCCTACCTATGATGGACATAAATTCTTTGTTACTATAGTTGATGATTGTACCAGATTACTATGGTTGTTTCTAATAAGAATGAAGAGTGATGTTTGTGTTGTTCTGAAAAACTTCTTCATCCTTGCTAAAACTCAGTTCAATGCAGTAGTTAAAATGGTTAGAACTGACAATGGATCTGAGTTTGTAAATGCTGAGTGTCACAAACTATTTACAAGCTTAGGTATTATTCATCAGAGAACTTGCATACATACACCTCAGCAAAATGGTGTTGCAGAGAGAAAACACAAACATATTCTTGAAGTAGCTAGAGCAATAAAATTTCAAGGACATATTCCTATCAGGTTTTGGGGTCATTGCATAATTGCAGCTGCTTACATAATAAATGTGTTACCTACTCCAGTGCTACATGGTAAATCTCCTCATGAAGTGTTTTATAAAACTAAACCTACTCTACAACATTTAAGAGTTTTGGGTCGCTTATGTTTTGCAAAGAATATGTATATACATGATAAGTTTCAACGAAGAAGTATTGTTGTTGTTCATGTGGGATATAGTACTACTACTAAGGGTTATTTACTCTACAATATTAAGGAAAAACAATTCTTCATTAGCAGAGATGTGGAATTTAGGGAAACCACATTTCCATTTGCAGTTTCTTCTACTACTGAATGACACTTGTTTCCTTCTGTTAATGTTCCATTAGAAGCATCACAGGCTGTGTCCCCATCTGGTGTGGTTGAATCCACTGAACAATCTACAGAAGTGTCTAATGATCAAATTTCTGAAGTCAGAAGGTCACAAAGGAGTACCAAAGCTCCTCTATGGATGCAAGATTATGTTGCTTCTGTTCATCTCATTCCTAACAGACCTCTATATTCTATTGACAAATATCTTGGCTATGATTATCTGTCTAAGTCCTATCAGGCATTTCTTTCCTCTTTTGGTCATGAAGTTGAACCTAGTACTTTTGAAGAAGCATGTAAAGATCCCAGATGGGTTGAAGCCATGCAGGCTGAAATCTCAGCCTTGGAAACTCATCAGACTTGGAAAGTAGTACCTTTACCTCCACACAAAAAAGGCCATTGGTTTTAAGTGGATTTTTAAAATAAAATATCAAGCTTCAGGGGAGGTTGAAAGATTCAAAGCTCGACTAGTTGCAAAGGGATTTAACCAAATAGAGGGACTAGATTATAAAGAAACCTTTTCTCCTGTTGTTAAGATGGTTACAGTTAGAAGTGTGTTGGCTTTGGCTGCTGTTGAAAACTGGCATATTCATCAAATGGATGTGTCAAATGCCTTCCTCCAAGGGGACTTGTTTGATGAAGTTTATATGAATCTACCTCAAGGTTTTCAGCTTCCTAAGGGATTTATTGTGCAGGGGGAGAAACCAGTGTGTAGGCTCACTAAATCCCTCTATGGTTTGAAGCAAGCCCCTAGACAGTGGAATGTGAAGCTCACAGATGCACTCATCAGGTTGGGATTTACATAAGGTCATGCAGAATTATTCATTGTTCATTAAGAGAACAAAAACATCATTGGTTATACTTCTAGTATATGTTGATGATATGATGATTACAGGTAATGACCTTAATCTTATTCAACAAACCAAAGAAGTTTTGCAGGATACTTTTAAGATGAAAGACCTGGGAGAACTCAGATATTTCCTAGGAATTGAATTTGCTAGATCACAAGAAGGGATTGTCATGCATCAAAGGAAATATTCTCTTGAAATCATTTCTGAAGCTGGACTTGGAGCTGCTAAACCAGCTTCTACACCTATTGATCCTTATGTACAGTTGACTACAAAGGAGTATGATGAAATAAATGGAACAGGAAAAGAAGATAAGCTACTGGAGGATCCAACAGCATATAGAAGATTAGTTGGAAAATTGTTGCATCTAAATGTTACCAGGCCTGACATTGCTTTTGCTACACATACACTGAGTCAGTTTCTTCATCAACCTAAATAATCTCATCTCAGTGCTGCACTTAAGGTTGTAAAATATGTCAAGGGACAAGCAGGACTAGGTGTATTATTATCCAGCAAGAACAACAAACAGTTAAAGGTCTATTGTGATTCAGATTGGGGAGCTTGTTTACACACCAGAAGATCTGTTACTAGATTCATAGTTAAGCTGGGAGATTCACTAATATCATGGAAATCAAAGAAACAAGGAACTATATCTAGAAGTTCAGCAGAAGCTGAGTATAGAAGCATGGCAAGTGCTGTTGCTGAAGTAGTTTGGATAACAAAATTATTCAAGGAACTTGGAGCTGATGTAGTAACACCAGCCATCATTTATAGTGATAGCAAGTCAGCTATACAAATTGCTGCCAATCCAGTATTACATGAGAGAACTAAGCATATAAAACTGGATTGTCATTTCATAAGAGAGAAAATTCAGAATGGTCTAATTCAAACTGAATATCTGCATACCAAAGAGCAAGAGGCAGATATACTAACTAAAGGTCTCAACAAGTTTCAACATGAATACTTATTATCCAAGTTTGGAGTATTGAATCTGTTCACTCCTACAAACTTGAGGGGAGTATTAAAGATGGCATTACTTAGTTAGTTGAGGTTCATTATGTAATTAGTAAAAATTAGAGTAGTAGTTAGTAAATAGGTGGTTAAAGTAGTTACAAAATATTCTTCCCTTTCTTGTATAAATACCAACTAAACATGTTAGTTACAAGTAAAAAAAGAGTTAACAATTTACAGAATACAAAGATGAGTTTCTTTTTCTTCTAATCTTCATCTATCTGCACATTGCAGATTACTCCATTTCTCAAAGCTTTCACAATCTAAACGGACTTTAAATAGATAACGCATATCATTAACCTTACTTTTTCCCTAGTAAAACAATGTTCCCTTTGTCCATTTTTTTGTATGCCCTTTAATTTTTGAATAGGAACTCAATTTATTTCTTTGATGGCTTCTAGAGTTCGGCACAACTTTTTCATTAACAGACGACAGAAACTGGTGTACTTGCGTAATAATGACTCATATTGCTATTATTTATTAGCCTAGTTAACTGATTAATCATTTAATCATAGTGTGCACACCACCTAAAGTGATAATTATAACTCGAAAAATTATCACCAACTTATTATGTCAACTAATTAGCGATTATAAACTTCAAAATAGTGGTCACGGATATCAAAATCCACTCTATAAAAATGCATATCAGTACAACCCAACTACTGATAAAATGTTGATTTAGCAACCTCTAAAATTAAATTTTAGAAGGCTTCAAGATTAAAAGAAAATTCAGCTTTTGTGCTATATAAATTATTTGTGTTGCTACAAATTGAACAGATACATAATTAGAGTTCAATTTTAATACAGTTGAAAGGAAAGATACAACAATATATAGATACACAAAGTCACATGTAATATCTGAGTACACACTTACAGAACGACATAATATGCAAAGATACAACTTTATCAGCTACCTGATGAGTTTTCCAATAAACAGAACCAACATAAAGAAAACACAGAAAATTAGGCTAAAACACATATAGAAGTCAAGTATTCATAGTTATAACAACTTCAAAACATCGTTTGATCATTCAACCCCTCCCCCAACAACAGCGCCTCCACTGGCGGCAGAATCTGTAGACAAAACCCAAAAACGAAATTAATTTACAAAGCCAGTAGATATATCAAAATGGGCAAGAAAGTATCTGTTTGCTTACCATTTGCCTGTGCTTCAGCACCTTTCCCAAGCCATGTACTTACAGCACCTTTAACCCTATCCATCACCCCCTGTCCCAAATTTTCACCAACTTTTGTTTCTCCAGAAGAACCAACTACTTCTTCTTTCTTTTTGGGTTCAATAGGACCCAATCGCCTTTCAACTTCCACTGATTCGGTCACCTTCCCCATTGGCTTTGCCTCCTCTGTTTCCTCTGTTTTCTCCTTCTGTATTGAAAGTGAATCTGAAATGACTTCAGAAAGTGCTCTGTCTTCCTCTCCGGGCTTGAGCTTCTCTGCTAAATACTCCGTCATTGACACCCCTTTATCTGTCCTCACTTCATGCTCTGCATCTACACCTCCCCTGTTTTCATGTCCTGTAACTTTCGCCATGACTGTGCTACCAGCACCCGCTACTTTCTCATAAACGGGAGCAAGTTTTTCTGCAACCGTGCTTGCAGCTTTTTGTGCATATTCAGTTGCTGAGGTTGTTTTCGTCGCGTCGCCTCCTGTCACCCGAGTTTCCTCCTCGGTTCCACCATACCCGAGTTTGGAGGCGACAATGTTCTTAGCAGCAACCGCCTTGTCAGCAATTGCTGATGTTGCGGATGAAAGAGTTTCTGTATAGCTACCTGGTTTCCCAGTTAGTGTGTCCTGAGGTAAATCTTGTGGATTGCTCGGATTCATACTCTTAGGAATTGATTCAGTATCTTCACCAACCGAGGGGAAAACAGTAGGCGACTCTTGTGGAGCAAATTGATCATGTGATCCTGTATACTGTCTACGTTCTGTTCCATGATCAAATTGAAAATCCCCTGCTTTTGGCTCTGTTCTCATTCGTGTTGCTTCCGGAACATCGTTCACACCCATTTTTTCAAACGATTGAACAAGCGGGCTAACTCCTGCCTCCTCATTGTCTTTTACAATCAAAATACATAGCATCTATGTTAGTACCTCATACGAGGATTAATTAGTCAAATAGCAATTTGAACAGAGAAGTAATGACTTACTGGCGCCTGTTGGATCGGTGACTTTGCTTTGATAGTTTGTTGGATTTGGATAGTCTTTAGGAACGTTAGGATCCTCCTCTAAACCTGTTAGTACTTTAAATTTGTGCCCCTGCAGTCCTTGATCATTTAGTTCCCCACGGCCACGGGCTCCTGTGTCGGTAACAACAGGTGGCATATGCATCTGTTCATGTAAGTGTGAAGCGTGAGGATTCGCCAAACCTGTTGGTGCCCCAATAATATTTTCAGTCCCCTGCAGTCCTTGATGGCCTTGTGCTCCTGGAGCAGTAACATGATGATCAAAGCCCTTAGTCTCATGAGTTTCAGCAGCAGTAGTAATAGGTCTGTGAGAGGCAGCAGCATGATGATCCACTAGCCCTATTGGTGCTCCAATAATATTTTCATGCCCCTGCAATCGTTGATGACCTTGTGCTCCAGGGGCAGTAACATGATGATCAAAGCCCTTAGTCTCGGCAGCGGTATGATGATCCACTACGCCTATTGGTGCTGTTCCAAGTCCTTGATGTTCATGTTTTCCAACGGAACCAACATAATCATCAATGCCCTTGGTCCTTTCTTCGGGGAAGTGAATCCCCGGTGGCCTCGCAAATTCGTCTTGCCTCTGCAAAATCGGCCTATGCACGTCTTCATTTTTCATCTTAGAATCATAACGATCCTCCTTAGGGCTAGTTGGATTCTCTAAATTGCCCATTGACACAACTTCCTCTTTTGGAATATCTTTACTCCTAATAGCATCTAATCCCATCAATTGCAACAAAAATTAAATACTAATTTACAAGTCATAATACAGGAAACAACTACTATCTATCTAAGTAATTAACGTGCTAAAATTATTGAGAACCTACATGGTCCACCATGAACTTCTGCACCTTCCTCCATTTCTTCTTCATCAGTTTCTTCTTGTGAATGCTGCTCGTGTTCATGTTCATGTTCATGGCCATGCTCGTGTCCAAGACCATGTTTTAAATGATCCTTGATCTTTTTCGCCTTTGCCTTAACTTTCTTCAACACCGATTGCTTATGATGATGATCACCTTCATCATGAACTTGACCATGTCCTTCTCCTTCAATCATAAAAACAAACAATTAGTAATAATAATAATGAAACACAACATTTTATCTCAATTTTTCACTAACCTGAGTGCAACCCTGTATCCTGTGGACGGTGCAATTGTGCCTCCATGATGTCTTTAGCAAATTTTGTTATTCTTTTGGCTTTCGAAAGAAATGTGTATACTGTATAATCAAAACAAAGGATAATGGTAGTTTATAGAATGGAGAATTGAAGTAATTGACCACCTTTGCATGACAGTGGCGTTCTCTGAAGGATACACGTATTTAATCGGCGAAGCACGTCTCTTGTTATAGGACACGTGGAACTACCTTTATGGGACACTACAGCCTTCTATATCTACGTGATTGGCCCTAAAAAATAACCGCAAAATAAATTGATTTCTATTAAATTAAATCAAATTTCAATACAAATTATTGATACCGATCGATAAGTTCGATCTATTATATTACTCGCGTTTAAGCGGTTTTCAATTGTTAATACTCAATAATTGAACTGCCGTTTTCTTTTAGGGGGTTGGAAATAATTAAACTGCCTTGATATGACTGGATCTCGAACCGTTTTACATGTTATTAAAAATTGTATTTAATTAGTAAAAATTACAATAAAAGAAGTATTACTGTAAATTATATTTAAGTATAATTTATAAATTTTAAATTCAGTGTTTACTAGGTGTGCTCACTTCACGGTTTCGTTGAACTCTTGTAGAGTTAGGTTCTCTTAACTAATATGCAAATATGTAAATTATGAAGGATTTACATAAAATATTTTCATATGCATATTCCTTCAAAGAGCTTGATGGAATGGAAGCTCTGGACAAAGACATTAGAAAGCACATACTTCACTTCATAGACTGTGTTAAAGTTAAATAGATTAGAATTTTAACGTAAATTTTTAATTATTTGTTACACTTTATAAAATTACATTGACTTATGAAAGAAGACGATAAATGAAACTATTCTTATTTTCTTTAGATTAAGAAACCTTCAATTTCATGTTTAATAAATTAAAATTCTCACTATATACATGACTTTTTTTTAAAAATATTTTTTAATTATAATATAATTTATTTTAAAAAAATTTAGATTGCGGAAATGACAAATAGTGCTCAACATTATTGATTATTTCATTTGATCATGATCTCAATAAGTAGGAAAAAGAAACAAGAAAGAACACATGGCCACGATGACCCCTAATTTTAGCGGGAAGTAACTCAATAAATTTGCACCGTGGGCGCCATTTTCAAATTTTCAATTACAATCCGTTACATTTCAAAATATTCACTCGTTCTCTCTCCCCCAGAAACCTCACAGTAATCAGGGACATGCGAACTCGATTTATCGGCAAGGACAACTTCAATTCCGCTCAATTTCCAGCCGGCGATTTCCTCCGCCTCCCTCTTCCACACCTCCCTACTCCGAACGCCTCCATTTTTGAACACCTTCATTGTTTTGACGGACTTCCAACACTTAGTATCGATGTTGAAATTGAGAGATTTCCGATTGAGAAAACTCTATCTCGCTTCTTCTCATATGTCTTTCCGCACAGGATTGATGTTGAACTTGCTGAGTTCGCAGATCCTCGGCCGTTCGCCGGAAAGCTGGTTGACGAGCAGGGAAGTTGCAGTTTCGAGGAGACAAGCGGAATTACTACAGAGGTAAATGCTGAGAATAATCTGAACTTGTTTAGGGTTTAAATGCTATTCATTAACTTCATCGTGAAAATATTCACTTATCTGATGCATTGATGCATCTGGTAAGAGGCTGATATTACAAAGAGAATCTAATTTGCTTAGAAGTGAAGAATTTTAGATGTAAAGCTTTTATGAAATGTAGTGTCGAATTAAAATGAATGTTTATGTTGATTGAGGATCTCTCCCAAATTTGCATCGGTTTAGCTGTTAATTTTTAGATTTAGTTAAAGATTTGTCACTTCCAACAGGAGTTTCATGCCATCAAGTACACTGGACTTGTCACTAAACTGGCTACCAACCAGGCAATCACTCCCGTCTGCAAGCAGCTGAAGTCTCGAATAAGAGACTCAATAGTTAGCACCTTTAGTTTGGAAATAATTTTAAAAGATACTGCATATTAACAGAATTTTGATGTGATTATATTAGGATTTTAAGATGTTTCTTCTTCATTTATGGTAATTTTGAAAATTTCTAATGGAGGGCCTATGGAGCAGACATGATGATAATAAGAGAACTGATTGCAAGTTGCATGATTCAAAACTCATATTTATCCCTACAACCTTCCAATATTCTCAAACATACAACTACAGGTCAAGGTCTTCCAAAATTAAAATAAATCTTTAGAAATATAAGATTTCAGATTTCTGGAAGACTTCCTCATGATGGCTCCGCGTGCTTCACCAAGGCAGCACTGCCTGAGTTAGTGTTGTTATGTTGGTAACTACTTTATTTTTATGAGTTAATGTTATGTTAAAATGTTATACGTAAAAGCGTACATGAATTGCATCGTCTTTCAGAAAACTAATTATGGTTATTGCAACAAAAAGAAAATTAATCTCAACTGAGATAAGAGTAGAAGTTGATTGCAAAAGAGTATTGCTAGTTTTTTTCTTACCTCATTAAAATTACACCTGTCTTAGGCTGCTTTTATATATTGCAGGGGAGTTTGGTTTCCTATGGCAAGGGGAAGGACAATCTCGAAATGGTCCAGTTTGAAATTCCAGAGTTGGATTCATCCTCACTTCAATTGGTAAACCATCCCGGCAATCAAGCAGATATAATTAATATGCTACTAGCTAAATTCTCATGTGAAGCATCTGCATTTGTCTGTTCTCTTGTTGTCAGCTAGAAGATATCCCTCATTTTGGAAAGGAGAACATGCTGTTTCCGTCTGAGATTTCAGATGATGGAAATAAGCTGGTAATATTTTGATGAATTACATAGTTCTTCTGGCATCCAAGTTTTTATGATTGCAGGGAAATGCTTTTGGTTTATATTGCTAACTTTTGTGATGATGATTAACTACATAGGATAAGAATTACCAACTCCTCCCTTTCTGTCAAGGAAGAAGTCTTTGATCAGAAATGAAAAGCCAGTGGTTCATATTGATGGAAGAAGCTTGGTCATTTTGAATATGATATAATTTTTAGTTACATGCATGGATTGAAGCTCTCAAGTCTTAAGATAGTCTGTTCTTTCATCTCTTCTAAATATATATGCAGCTGGTGACTCTGATTCTGAAGACAATGTCCTCTACTTTTTTCTTGTCGGCCCCAATCATCATTTGAGAAACCATATCACTAGTTTCTTCCTTATTGAAATATAAGAATCATGTAATAAGGTTCTTAAACACAATTTGCTGGGATATTTTATGCAACACCAAGGCCATGCATTTGTCAATATGTGTCATCATTCAGTATCAAACATCTTTCCTTTCCATATGATTCCAAGGAATAATAATGCTTAATGACATAGACATAGTGACCTTTTATTGAAGTCTGTTCATTGTAGAGGACTGTGAAGTAATTGTACTCCATTGCCATCATGTTGATTTACTTTTCTCTGACTGCATGAAGGAAAGGAAGGACCTAACCAACTAAGCACTACTTTCACTTTGTTTATGCTCACTAACTGGTTTGGCCCATCATTGTTCACTAATTGCAGGATATGCCCGGTTTTGAAGTTAGGCTGCAACATTCCCTTGATACTCTGCAATCAATTTGTTCAGTGGATGACATCTGTTCTGTGTCTTTTATGGATTCTGTGTCTTTTCTGGAGAAAAGCTCTGATTGGCTCGAAGATAGTGGTTCTAGTCAGGGGAAACATCATTCTAGCACATATGCCTTTCCTCTTCTCGAAGTGGATGAGGCAGGGTTGGGTATTGTGGGAGAAAACTCTATAAAGGAGAAAGTTCTAATCTTTGAAAATATTGAGCTTCAGCGTGAGACACCAGGAAGTGAAGGAATGGGCAACATAAATGAGCTTTTGGATTCCACAAAGTTTGATACATTGCAACACCTGTCAAATGACAGTTTACCAACAGACTGCCTTGAAGTTGAGAATTTCTCTTTGGAGATGAATTTGATAAGTATTATTGAACTTGAGAAAAACTCAGTGATTCATCAAGGCAGAGAAAATGATGGTCCAATATGGGTAGGTAGCCCTATCATTTTTGATGAACTGCAATTCTTTGATTCAGACCTTTATACTTTTTGTGAATTGCTGTCTGAAGTAAAAGTTGACGTTGAGGATACATGTGACCTGATGTTGAGGGAGGCTGAGAATTTCAGGAACTTCGACGAATTGATTGTTTCCCATGAGCTCATCCCTGTGGATAATTCTTTCAGATCATTGCCTGTGCCACTAATTTCTGAGAATGGAAATATAAAGTCATTGCACTTGTGTATTAAGGAAATCCTATCTGAGTTGGAGCCACAGTCTTCCTCCATGTCTGATGGATTATACTTAGATTGGCATTTTATGGAAGAGGAGAAATGCAAGTGTCGAGAAGACTTCTTCAATTTATTGGGAGAGAAAGATGCTAACAACATTGACCTTTGCTTGAACTTCATCGACAATGAGATGCTTGTATCAGACTTTCTTTTCTCTAGTGATAGTCCACAAGAACCAAACAGAGTGGAGAGCAAAGAAATGTTGAGTTTACCTTCCAATGCCACTGCCGTTTCTCCCATGCCTTATAATGTGGAAGTGCCGACTAAGTTGCTAAAGGACGGAAAGTTCTCTACTGAAGGAGTATCATCCCAATGTAATTCTAAAAAGGCATCTTTGTTTGGTGACTCCTGGTCAGAGTTTAATGATCTTGATTTTTTCTTAAATCCAAAAGAGTATGGTAGAGACAAAGATTATAAACCAGCTGACAGTTCCATTGATACCAATACCATGGGCCAGAGCAGGTTTCTCTCTTCTGATACCACACTAGTACAACCTCAGCAATGGAATATCAAGGTGCATCAAATATTGTTGTCTTCTGATATTCTACTTCTAATTGACGATCTTAGGAAAATCTTTCAAGTTATCTTTGAAAGACGGAGAGAGTTAATTGAGACTCAGGATTCATCTCAAGCTGTGGACGATATAGCTATTCTTCGCCTTTCAAAGAAAAAGCTCATCAACTTGATTAAGAAAAGAACTCTGTGCAGGACGTCTTTGTTCCAGGATGGTGATAACACAATATCATTGGTCACATTGTGCGCAATCAAACAGATGGTTTGGTACCTTTG